GTATTTTGGTAAGCAAAATACGTACACCAGGCTCGAACCCTTTAAGATCAACGTTCTTGAGCAGATCACGAAGCATATCGAAAAACTGCAGTGCGGAGGTGTAGTCAAACAACTCAGCAGGCGTGGGAACAATCAGCACATCAGCAGCACATACGACATTAATCGTGCCGATACCCAGGTTAGGCGCGCTGTCAATAACTATGACATCATAGTCATGAGCAACAGTTTCAATGGCCAGTCGGAGCATCAGGTGTGGATCGGTGGGCAGTTTACCTTCATCAAATTTGCCCATTAACTCAGTTTCAATACGGTGCAGAGCCAGACAGGAAGGAATAATGTCAAGCCCCGGCCAGCAAGTGGGCTTTATTGCATAAGTGACATCGTCCTTTTCCCCAAGATAGAAAGGCAGGAGAGTGTCTTCTGCATGAATATGAAGATCTGGTACCCATCCGTGATACATTGAGGCTGTTCCCTGGGGGTCGTTACCTTCCACGAGCAAAACACGTAGCCCCTTCAGAGCCAGATCCTGAGCAAGATGAACAGAAACTGAGGTTTTGTAAACGCCACCTTTATGGGCAGCAACCCCGATCACCGGTGGAAATACGTCTTCAGCACGTCGCAATCGCGTACCAAACACATCACGCATATGATTAATTTGTTCAATTGTATAACCAACACGTTGCTCAACCCGTCCTCGAATTTCCATATCCGGGTGCGGTAGTCGCCCTGCTTTCTCGGCATCTCTGATAGCCTGAGAAGAAACCCCAACTAAATCCGCTGCTTCACCTATTCTCCAGCGCCGGGTTATTTTCCTCGCTTCCGGGCTGTCATCATTAAACTGTGCAATGGCGATAGCCTTCGTCATTTCATGACCAGCGTTTATGCACTGGTTAAGTGTTTCCATGACTTTCATTCTGAACATCCTTTAATCATTGCTTTGCGTTTTTTTATTAAATCTTGCAATTTACTGCAAACCAACAACAAAATCGCAAAGTCATCAAAAAACCGCAAAGTTGTTTAAAATAAGAGCACCACTAC